TGATAAAATAAAATAGTTTATATATATTAATTAAAAATATACGTGATTTTCATTAGAATACTTTCATGATTTCTTTATTCACTAAAAAGAATCAAATTGAAGACATTTTTCTCTCATGCCCTTTAAACTAATTTTTTTTTTTTAATACTAATTTTATCATCAAAGTACATATATAAACACATAGAACGATATATGTTGGTAATTATGAAAGTAATCTTTATAAATAAATTAGAAAATAAATGTTTTTTATTTTTTTTAATTCCACTATCATAATTACCAGTACATAAGAAACAAGAAGTATATTTCTAAACATAATCTATATGAGAAATATTGTTAGTTTCGTTTAAACGTCCTCAAAGTCGATCCCGCGCGTCAAATAAATCTATATCTCGTGACTTTCACATCTTCGTAATTAAATTGGAAGGTTTAGAAGCGAGCTAGTCAAGGAAAGTTATATCTATACTCAAGTTGGTGAATGACACCATGCATCATAGATAGAAGACGTCTTTATTGTAGGGAAGTCGTTACGGCCTAGTCCGCCGTGTGTGTCGCCTACGTAGTCCGAGCTAGTGCTTACGTAACTGGCAGCAGCAGGTGTGTATGTGTGCACCTCACTATACCTCTCTCCCTCTACTTTGCGTTTGTCTCCTCGACGAAGAGCACGTGTCGTCGCACCTCTTCCTTCCATTTCTCCTCTTGGCTTTATAGCTACCGCAAACCCGACACTCTAAGCTTTCCAGAGAAGCTTTTAATTGATCATTAATTAAATCAATAAATTTCCTTTTTAATCCCCTTTCGTTAAATCATATAATTCGTCAAATTTTCAACAAACTAATAACTTCTTCATTTTCTAACGAATCAACACTTATCACATGGTTTTAGATTTTAATTAATTATTTTTTGGAATGATATTGCTTTTTATCTTTTAAGTTTATGGATAAAAAAAACTTTATATAAATTAATTTCTCAATAAAATATATTCTATAATAACAAAAGCTTCTTGTATCTTCGTTTGAAAGAAAATATTTGATGAGATTTTTATACGATTCTAAATTTCTCGTGAATTTTCTTCAATGTTTGAACACTTTTTCGAAAATTCTTTTTTTACCTTTATGTGAATAATTATTAATACAGGAAAATTGTTATACTGAAAGATGTATCGATAAATTCAATTCTTTCTTACCGTCCATTATAACAGAAACCAGTTAGGATTCCTTTTATAGTGCAATAAACGGCGCATAAATTACGATAAAAGAGTTATTCCAGTTTTTCAAAGGAGTCCAACAACAACGACGATGCGAAGATCAACAGCATCTTTTCGCGTCGGCGCGGAGGGACAAAACTTTCACGTCCTTATACGCAACCGACATCCTGTCCGCCATAACGACCTAGCTCGGGAAAATGTCAACGAAAATGTCGATGTTAGAAAGGCTAATCTCTCTCTCTGTCTTTCATTCTTTCAATATCTCTCCAAAAAAAAAAATAGAAAAGAAAAAAATAATAACAGGAGACAAGAACTCTACATTTCAAAAATAATCCTGCGTTCTATTTTGAAAAAATTAAATTTCGGGATTTTCGCCAAAAATTATTTTTAATCAATTTTTTTGTTCATGGTATTTATTTATATTACAATTATTTATGCTGTAAAATTAATCATAAAATCAATTTTTTTTTACGATCTTTTGATTAATCGTAAATTTATTGTTATAATTATCGTTACGAATAAATTCTCCAACGCGTTTCTTATCATTTGTTTATTAGTGCTATCATTATTGATCTATTACGGTTTTACGCGGTATTACAACTTTACCTCGTATGAAATTTTAATTTATCAGAATGCGTTTTATAGTTTGTAATTTTAATCGGCGTATCTAATCGAGTAATCAGTCGGTAAAGGTTAAGAAAAAAGAATTAATTCATTTTGAGAGAAAGTAATAAAATCGAAGTATACTTTTTTATATTTTTTTTTTTTTCAAAGCGCTTTTTTTTACTTTTGAAGCATTCTCTCTCTCTCTTGGTATCACAATATGTAAGAATTTATAAGAGTATTCGTGATACATACAGGATATTTACGAGCTGAACGTATCACGATTTATGAGATCGCGTATAGATAACGTAAAAATACGTTGTCATATTCATATGCTTATTTCAATATTACTATTACGATATTATCAACTTACTAGGGGACAGTCAGGTTAAACCCCCTCAGATTTTTTTCAAACTTTGCACACTCGTAGTAGTCTATGAGAAATGTTCGTTGTACTTCTTAAAAAACTAGATATTTAACTAGATATTTAATTTATTTAAATTGTTAATTTGTTAACCGAAAAAAGGGATTTTACTTCTTACAAAGATATCACATATGTTCTTGATAAAAGTTTAAACAAATTATTTGTTCTTGATAAAAGTTTAAACAAATTATTTGTTCTTTATAATTGATTAAATAAAGTAATTATTCTTATTAATAAATCATTATACTACCATTTTTATTAATTTATTCATATATTCTGATTTTTAATCGTATCATTTTATTTTTGATTGTCATAAGCTTCGTATAGATAAGTTAACCGATCAAAACTTATCTCAGTTTAACACTTTAACAGGGATAAATATCACGCAAAATAATGATTCACGTAAATGAACGTCACCTCGTGACAAGTAAACTACTCTAACAGGAACATACTAGTTATTCTTTACACATCACAGTAATATTCTTACATCTAAAGATAGAGATAGATAGATAAAAAAAGAAAGAGATAGAGAGAGAGAGAGAGAGAAGTATATAACATTAATGAAAGGCACGTAGATCTTAAAAAATTACTCCAATGTTGAATGCCTTATGAATTCTTTTTATTTTTTTTTTCTAGATAACCGATCGCGAACGACACATTTGCGATTACGAAGGTAATATAAAAACATGACGGAAAATATAAAAACGAACGAAGTCTTTTTTTCTCGGATATTAATAGCTCCATTGAAGTTCCTCGTGCCTTTTAACGATGAATTATTAATGCAATTATGAGGATCGTTGAATACGTCAGAGAACGAGGATCAAACCGATCTTTGATTAATTACATTCAATGCTCTCATCTTACCTATGCTATGTATATAAATATTTGCAAATGACATATGAAAACATTAAACAATGGAAAAAAAGAAAATATTATTTTAAGGTAGTTCCCTTGTTTGTTGGAATCATTGATATTGCTAATTATTCGATTAATTTTAAACCTTTCTTTCGTTCATGCTAGATTTTGTTAATTTAATCAGACAATTGTGAGAAGATCGGTCTTATTTGCTCTTTCATTAATTATTAAAATTGCCAATCATTCAATAAGTTTGATTTAATTAAAAATTTTATTCATATTATGTCTCGTTTATTAAATCAGACAAAAACTGTTTTTATTAATCTTATTTGTTCTTTCATTCGTGTCTAAATGATGAAGGTATTGCATTATAGATATAAAATATGCATGTAAGTATTGCATGAGAGATATAGAAATAAATTTTTGAATTAAAAAATCTCTTTTTGAAATAACCTAGTACACTGAAATATAGAGGGGGGAAGTACACGAAAAAATGTACATTTTTAACAAAGTATTAACAATATTCAGTACGAATTCGATCTATAACGTAATGACAAATTTGTCTTTCATATAACTTTAGATAAACTTCAAATTTCTATCCCAGACGAAATAAATTCATTCCTATAGCGCAAAAGTTTTATTATATAACTTCGAATAGAATTGAACCCTCGTTAACTTTTCCTATCAAATAACTTAAAACTCTAGCTACTATACGCCAATAAAAAAGTGGCTTCTAAAATCAATTTAATATGATCGAGTCATTTTTTAAATAAATTTATCACACTTTTGTTCATAATCTAAAAAATTATATGTCTATCGTAAAAATGTCAACATTTGTTTTCGATAGACGGTTCTTTTTATAAACACTTTTTATTTGTTTAACACGTTGACTGCCGCGCGCGTTTCACGTAATTTTCCCGTGACGCCTGCATGAATTTTTTATTATGGAATGCATATTTTGTTTAAATGTTTTTTACAGTAGATAAAGGGAGTTGTATAATTGTGTTTAATGCATTATTTTTGGTGAGTGGTCCGCCCAGGTGTTGTAGACCATTTTTGTGATTATCAGTTGTTTCAAATTGTTCAAAAATGGTAGTAGATTGTAATTTATGGAAATTTATAGTTGATTTGTCTGATCAAATGATTGCTTATAGTTCATCACTGCGAAAAACTATAAAATGTTACGGGAAATTGGCAATAAAACTTTTACTGATTACTTGTATTGTAAATTAAATGGTGTTATACAAACAAGTAACTCGAAAAATATTTTAATTCCCAATTTTAGTATGAAGTTAGCGATGTATTTAGTGAAATGTTCTGATGATGAAGATTGCATTTTATCAAGCAATTGTAAACAGAGAAAACGTCGTTACATTTCATGCATTTTTTCCTTGTAATTATAAAATTATTTTTGCATGTTTCGTATGTCATTATTTTCTTCAAACCTTTATAAAAATAATGATATTATTTAAAAATTTATCAGTACCGATATTTATTCTTATTATGTATTATTATTATTGGACGTATTGTCACCGGTGATCTAGACGACAATCAACATGTTAATAATATGTTTTCATTTAAAATAACACACCGACAAAGAAATGGACCGTTTATTTTGAAAGTGGGCGCAAATTCAAAAATATAAATCAATTATATCGTCTGGCAAAATGTTTCTATTAATTTATCAATATGTAATGTGATTATACAAATTTCTTTTAGAGACGAATTTATGTAAAATAATGTATATATATGGACTGTAAATGGCTGTAACATCACTTTCAAATTAAACGGTCCAAATATTATCCGTATTGGGGGATGATAATACAGTGTAACAGCCAGGGTCGTTTAGTAGGTAGAAGGTTTAATATGTGTCGTGCATAAATGATAAAGAGGTCAGAGGAGATATTTGAGGAGCGGGTCGATTTTTTTGTTGGCAGGTGAGCGGGAGGGAGGCGCTGCTGACCGGTGGCGGCGGCGGCCATGCGCCCTGGCCCGCTAATACAGCCGAGCCGCCGCAGGCCTCCCCGTCGCCAGCATCAGGTGCCCAATCGGCTGCACTATCATCGAATTTCCCATCAACAACAACAACGTCAACGTCATCGACAACATCATCATCGATCTTGTTCACGTTGCCAGGACGACGAACAACGGCAACAAGAGGACCACCATAATCATCATAATCATCATCATCATCATCATCATCATCATCATCATCATTGTAATCAGCAGCAACAGCAACAGCAACATCATTATTATTATTATCATCGTAATCATCATCGTCAACAGGAACGTCAACGTGCAGGTGGACGAAGAAGATACTTCCAAAGAGGACATTTATTATCCTCGAGAAGCCTTTTCGTACTTCTATTGTTGGCAAGCAGCCCTTTGGTCCTTGGTTTGGCTGAACCATCGTCTGCACACGAATGGCAACGAAAGACAAGCTATTCCTCTTCGTCCTCATACTTTGACGGTTCCTCGAAGCCGGTCTTCGGTAGGCATACCGTCGATAGGAACGCCATGCTTAATCCTGCCTCACAAACAAAAATGGAGCTTAAAAAGACCCAGAATCTTACCATCGGATACCTAACAGCTATTAAGGGTGGCCTTAAGGATCGACAAGGACTCGCTATTTCTGGTGCTCTCTCTATGGCACTCGACGAGGTAACTTTGCTTATTTTTTTTCTTTACATTTTCTTTCACAATTCTATTTATGCAATTTATCCAAATCGATTTATTCTTATTTCGTTGATTTTTTCATTATTTAATTTGACATTAATTACAACAATTATTCGTTGACAAAAGCTACGGTATTTGAAATACTCAATCTCATATTAACTTTTAAAAATCTCTAAGAGAGATAAGAATTGTAACGTTTAAATAATTGTGACGTTGAAAACCAGAGTGGACCAACCTTTTTTAGCTGTAATTTTGAGAAAAACCGTTTTAGAAAATTGTACAAACTTTTGTTAATTTGCTTTAAACCAGCTTTGAAAATGGATCCTTACATTTTTGTTTTTGTAGGTTTAATAAGATACAAATTTAAAAAATGTATTAGTTTTACTACAAAATATTGAGTATTTTAAGAGAAAATGTGAATTGGTCTACTCTGGTTCTCAAAGGCTCAATTGGAATTTACGAAAGAATCGAGATAAGCTCTTCCTTCTCGATATATCGCACTGGTCAAACGTTCTCTCCGATCGTCTGAAGAGCAACACGTATATAAAGTATGTGTGGTGGGATCGACGATGGGCTCCAGGAGGTTCGATAATTCATTCGAAGAGATCGGCGCGTTCGCGGTGACCGTGAGATCGTTTTCGCCGTCTCGTTCGTCGAATCAGAGTGGGAAGGGGAGAAAGGTAGTAATACTCTCTTTCTTTCTCTTTCTCTCTCTCTTTCTCTTTCTTTCTTTCCCCTCCCTCTTTCTTATTTTGGAAGGAACAGCAGCAACAGCAGGAGCAAAGTAACTCGACCGATTCCACATCTTTCTCTCTCTTTTTCTTACTTTCTTCTTTTAGTTTCTCTTCGCGAAAGAAAGGAAGAGAAAGAGAGGGGGAGAGAGAGAGAGAGAGAGAG